CTAATAGAAAACAAAATGTGCAAAACAAGAAATCTGGAATACTAATTATTCTGTTTGGAGTGCCTCAAGGATTGAGCCTAGGATAGCTCCTATTTTTAATTTATGTTATCAATTTTAATAATGCATCATTAAAGCAAAATGCTATCATGTTTGCATACGATACAAATCTATTTTTATCTATCTGCAACATTATTCAACTTTATGCTAACATGAACATTGAATTAGAAACAGTAAATGATTGGTTCAGTTTAAATAAACTTTTTCTTAACGTTGAAAAAACATAATATACCTTGCTTCATAAAAAAACATAAGAAGAAAACACTCCTCTAAAACTGCCGAAAATTATTAAAAAATATAAACAAATCAAAAAAGAAGATACTATAAAGATTTTAGGAGTAATTGTGGATGATCATTTACCATGGCTTCCACACATAAAGTATATACAATCAAAAATAATTAGAACCATTAGTATTATGTATTGAACTGGCCCATACTTAAATTCACATAGTCTAAAGCTTATATACTTCAGCTTAGTTCATTGTTACATTACTTATGCAAATATAACGTGGGCAAGTTGTCCACCAAAAAAAATTACAAAAATATGCAAACCTTACAAAAAATGCTTGTAGAATTATATACAACAAAAAAAGGGGAGACTTCACTTAACCATTAATGATGATGGATATGAAAATTATGAACATATATCAGAAAAATATTCTCCAACACCTAAACTTTATGTATATATATATCAATAATCTAACTCCTGAAATCTTCATAAGTAAATTTAATAAAAATTTAAATGAGAAGTATTTCTTAAGAATAAATCAAAATAACGCACTAATTCTGTGTAATGTTTTCTAAAAAAGAAAACATTAAACATAGTATACTATAACTTATAGAGGTCCCAAGCTATGGAACTTTTTTTTGAAAGACAATTTAATTATGGCAAAATCTTTAAATTCATACCAATATCAAAGAAAAACTTTCGTTCTAAATGTTAGGGATTAATTTTTATTTTTGTTTACAAAAATTTTTTTTAGCATTATATCTGAATATTTAACTGTTTGTATTTTTAAATACTATATGTAATCTTTATATATTATATGTTCAAAATAATATGATATATATATTCGGACATTTGTGTTTAAATATCTTCTTTTATAATTTTTTGTGACTATGAGTATTTATTAACATTATATCTTTTTACCTACTTGTATCATAATACATATATATATATATATATATATATATATATATATATATATATATATATATATATATATATATATATATATATTTATATATATATATGTATATAAATATATATATATATATATATATATATATATATATATATATATATATGTATATAAATATATATATATATATATATATATATATATATATATATATATATATGAATATATATTTTTATACATATATATATATATATATATGTATATATATATATATATATATATATATATATATATATATATATATATATATATACATATATATATACCCAGCGGGCACAGGTACGTTCATTGTACGTACAATCTACATCCAAATCACGTCCGTCCGTCCGTGAACCAAAACTGAACCTTCAAAAATAGTTTTAACAGGTTTAACCAAAATAGCAACTTCACTAAATATATTTTTATTAGCTTAGTCGTACATATAATAAAATTTGTCATTCTCGTTAACATGGGGTTAACAATTAACTTTTGAATAGCGTTGACAATTAACTTTTGAATAGCGTTAACAATTAACTTTTGAATAGCGTTGAAGTTAAGTTTATAAATTTTAAAGATGGCATCAAATGTGAAAAAATGAAAAGTTATTAATAAAAAAGTAAAGGCTTTTTTAAATTCATCTAGTTATGATGAAACAATTTTAATAGAAAATGCTGCTGGTAATTTTTCTTCAAGCCCAATAAGGTCCATAAATGATGACGGCGAATCGTTGGAGAGGAATGATTTAACAGACGATATTTTTATAACTGATGATTACTTAACTGATCAATATTATCTAAATACCAGTAGTGAATCTGAAGTCGAAATTACAGATCTGTACAGTAGTGATGATTACTCTGATAATGAGGGCGAAATCCCTTTATTAAATAAAAGGCTTGCTCAATGTGCAACAAGAAATCGTTGGACTCGTTCATCTGTTAATGAACTTTTATCTATTCTTCGTGAAAACGGTTCTTCTCTTCCTAAAGATGCACGAACTCTCTTAAAAACACCGAGAAAAATAGCAAAAGAAATAAAATGTGGTGGGGATTATGCATATTATGGAATATACAAAGGAATTAAAAGTGTTCTTGACGATAAAAGTTGTGCTGGTAATGTTATCAAATTATCAATAAATATAGACGGAATCCTACTTTTTAAATCATCAAGTAAGCAGATGTGGCCAATACTTGCATCTTTTAATGACTCTGACATATTTATAATTGCTATCTTTTGTGGTGATCATAAACCGGACAACATTAATGATTATTTGTTAGATTTTGTCAATGAATGGAATCAGTTACGACAGAATGGCATCATATATAATGGGAAACACTTCAGTATAGAAATTAAATCTTTCATTTGTGATGCACCATCTAAAGCCTTTTTAAAATGCATAATTCATCACGGAGGTTACAATTCATGTGAAAGATGTATCATTCACGGATCATATGAAGGACGAGTTGTTTTCAATGATGAAGAAGACTTTCAATTAAGAGAAAAAGATATTTTTGAACAGTTTGGCTATTTTAACAACCATCAGCAAGATAGATCTCCTTTAATTGGAATTGGGATTGATTGTGTTAGTATTTTTGCATTAGACTATATGCATCTTACGTGTTTAGGTGTAATGCGTCGCATGTTAAATTACCTGAAAAAAGGACCAGGTACAAAAATATCTGCTGCCCAAGTTTCAGAGATATCTCAAATTTTAATTTCTTTTAGTGGGTGTATGCCAAGTGAGTTTGCTAGTCAACCTCGAAGTTTGAAGGAATTAGATAGGTGGAAAGCAACAGAGTTCAGACAATTTTTGTTGTATACTGGCCCAGTTGCATTAAGAGGTATTGTCTCAAAGAAGTTGTATGAACATTTTTTAACCCTAAGTATTTCTATAAACATATTATTACAAGATGATGACGATATGCGGGTTCCATATTTAGATTATGCTAGTGATTTGTTAAAGTATTTCGTGTATCAAGCCAAGTATATATATGGTCACACATTTACAGTTTATAATGTCCATAATCTTTTGCACTTAGTTGATGATTGTCGCATTAATTTTTGTTCTCTTAACAGAATATCTTGTTTTCTTTTTGAAAACTTTCTTCAAAGAATTAAAAAGAGCATACGTAATTCTTCTAATCCAGTCTCTCAAGTATCCAAACGGCAATCTGAGTGTAAGTATTTTGGACAGTTACCTAAAAAAGCTTTAAAAACTAAAATCTCAGCTAACAGAAAAGATAGGTGTTTTTTGCTGCACAACTCTTCTATTGCATTTGTAAAGGCTAAGAATAGTGATGATACATTTCAATGTACAGTTATTAGCACCAAATATTTAGACGATGTATTTGACATCCCAACTCCATCAATGCAATTTAGTATATCATTATATCGAACTATAAATTTTAATAAAGTTGTCCAGAGAAAGCTAAGTGTTGCTGATTTTCAAAGAAAGTGTGTTTGCTTAGAAGAAAAAAGAGGCCTATCAATATTTTCATTACTGCATTATGATGAGAAATTTTAACCATGAACTTGTTTTTGAATAATATTTCATATATACATTTGTTTTTTGTTTTTATCCAAAGTTCTTTTTTTAAAAATTATGTGTGTGTATATATATATATATATATATATATATATATATATATATATATATATATATACAGGCTTCGGCAGGAATGACGGGCTATAGCCCGTGTCCGTCTCCGCACCCGTCTAAATCAGTTTAGACGGGCGAAATAAAGCCCGTCTGAAATATAAGTTTTGTGTAAAAAAAAAGATGAATATTTTGATGTTTTTTTATTAAGATACTCTTTTAAAACTTCTCTCATGACATAATTTTAATATGGATAGCAAACTCTAACTTATAATTGTTTATATTTAAATATAAAAATTAAACAATTTAATCATTATTGTATAACATGATGTAGAAAATAATATAACTAAATCTTACAGTTTTTTAAACGACGATAACTGTTTGATATAATACCAAACAGTTACCATATTATGTTCAAAATTTAATAACTATTATATTAAATAGGGAAATATACACATGTGATGCACAAGAAGTATCATGTTGTTTTGGTTTTACAATGTTTATAATAATAACGATAATAAACTAATTATCCATGTATTTCGCTTTTTTCCGATAAACTAGTTTGTCTTACTTTAAATACATTTAAAGTGATATTTCCGCGTAAACTTCCGCGTTAACTTCACGTTTTTTCTTAAAGAGACGGCAGTGTGTTTACTACGCAATTATATAACTCGTTATTGAAAATGAAATATCTCATTAAAAATCAACAAACGTCTAATCAATTTTTGTAGACAATATAAATAGTGTTGCTTTATAGTTATGAAGTTATTCAAGTTATCCAGTCATTCAAGTTTTTCAAGTTATTCAAGTTTTTCAGTAAAGATAGTAATGGCATCATCTGGTAGAAGAGTTACATTAGCAACATTTTTGAGTTGGGGTAAAGATGGACTCTGTGGAAAAGAAACTGAGGTGGAGAATGGAACAATTTTTGTTGTGAAGATATGGTGTATGGTTTGTATAAAATATAAAAAAGAATTGCTTCGCGAGTTAAAAGGTCTGGCAAAATCAAAAGCATTAGCATTTATAGAGGGCACTACGAACGTTAAAGCTAGCAACATACATACGCTTATATACATGCTTATATTGTATATAAAGTAGCGGAAGCCCCGGTATCTTAAGAAATTATTAGTACTTCTAAATAAAAACTTATTTTATTGAAAGAAATTAGATTTCAAATTTTTTATTCACGTATCAGAATAACTATTTCCGATCAGGATAGGCATAGGTAAAGCAAAGTTATAAAAATATAAATAACAGTTTAAGTTTTTAATTTGCACGCCCAATAGAATGCAAGAGTATATAAATAATTGAATTTGAAAAATAACATAGTTACGTATCATATTATCAAGCTAATACCAAACAATTCTAAAACTATCGAGCTCATTGATTCAAGGTTAAAAAAAAAAAAAGATTTCAAACTATTTGCTGAATAATTAAAAAAATTAGATTTTGAAAATATTATGTAATATTTTTATTCACAAAGAATAAGAGAAACGAATGAACTAAAAAAGCACGATAAAAACCTGTATAATTTATTCGAATACTTGAATAAAACAATAATATATAAATATACTCAAAAAGACTTTGGTAAAAAAACACGTTAGGATGCTTGAATAAGGAAACGTGATGAAACGCCATGGTTGTTTCGAGGATTTTTCCCGTCGTTTTCACGTTCATTCGTTTGACTATATCTGCCAGATATTATCTGGAATAAAGATTAAAAAAAAAAAACATAAAAAACTGAATAAAGTTCCTTCGAGTAAGAAATCTAAACAAAAGCAACCATAAAACAACTAACCCACGTGAAACGAAATTAGATCTGTGCAAGTGAAAACTTTGAAAAACAATTATTGAAATCTTAGTTTTAAGTATTATCCAACTCATTTACTGCAGTGTTTTAATTACTTAAGTAATTAAGCATTTTGAACAGTTAATCGCTTTCTAACATATTATTTTAGTGCAATTCACAAAATGTTTAATATTCAATGACATTTTCATTCAAAAAGAAGAAGAGAAATTAACAAATTTAAAAAAAAAAAAGGTTCAAACTTTAGAATTTTTTTTAAAGTTTAAAAAAGCCCGTGCAAGACCATCTAGACGGGCGGCCCTCAAAGCCCGCCAAGTCTATTTAAGACGGGGTTTTCATAGCCCGTACGATTTTTATTCCTGCCGAAGCCTGAGTTAGAACTAAATTGACTGGTAAAATAGTTTTTTTAGTACAATGTTTCTTTTTTTAAGAAAACTGTTTCAGTTTGGTCGTTAGTCTTTTTAAAACATTTTGAGCAGTATTTTTTTTTATTTTTTAGAGCAGTTAAGAGGAGCTGATTGCTTTTTTTAGTAAGTTCAAGTTATTTTGTCATACATAAATTAGGATTTTCGATTTACTTCAGTCTATTTTATATTTCTCTATATCTATATATATATTTACTCTAAGGATAAATAATAAGGAATAGAAAGTTGAGAAAATTTCTTCTGCAATTTGTCAAAAGACAAATTGCAGAAGAAACTTTCTATGAATAAATACATATTTACATACCTTAAAATGAAGAAGCTTCATTTTAAGGTATGTATATATGTATTTATTAGAAATTTTTAATTTTGTTCTTAAATGGTTTCTTCTTTTTCATTGCTTTAGATTAATATATACTGACTGATATAACTTCATTTTTATTAAAAATGTTGTGCATTGTATCTGCAGTCTTTGTTACATTAAAAATAATTGATGCTAATAAATGTTGTTTTATAGTTGTTAAAAGATTGCATATAAGTTTGCATGTATATTATGCTCAAAGTTTAAAATTTTTTAATAAATACGTGTATGTGGTAATATATGTTATATAGTTGTTTTATAAATGTGTTTTTATAATAGTATGAAATGTATTATATCTAATTTGTGCAAGATTGTTAAATGGGGTGTTTTTGTATGCTAAGTAACATTAAAAAAATATATTGTGTTTTATAATAAGTATATATGTTTATATAATGTTGTTCATGATTTCAAAGTAGAGTTACTTGGCAAACGTGTAGAGTAAGATTTATCAATCTTACCAGTCAAGCGATGTTACTGCTTTAGTAAGTAAGTTTAATGTTTTGTTTTATTTTATATTAGATATATATTTTATGTATTTAACAATGAAAACTGACTGTAATTTTTGACAGGTAAGTTTATATACATAAATGTGCCTATATATCAGAATGTTTTATATTTCTCTGAATCTATATAAATTTTATCTCATAGAAAAAATTAAAAAGAATAGAAAAAATTTGAATATATATACATACATATATATATATATATATATATATATATATATATATATTATATATATATATATATATATATATATATATATATATATATATATATATATATATATATATATATATATATGTATATATATATATATATTTATATATATATATATATATATATATTACTTTAGACTAACATTGCTTCATTTTTATATAAGATTCTGCATTTATTATTTTTGTGCATAAAGATTGTGCCTGAAGGTAAAAATAACTTTGCATTGTAGTCTAAATTCTTTGCTAAATTAAAATAATGTCAAAAATTTTGTTTTATATTTTTCAGTTGTAAAAATATAAAACTTTCATTTATTCAGTTGTAACAATAGTATAATCACTGTTAATATATTTAATGATAACAGATGTATAATATTAGGCTCGATGAAGTTATTAGTGTTATTGGTTATAGGCGACTTGAAATTGTTGTCATATGAAAGAAATAGATCTAGGCTTGATAAAATTAATTGTCGTTGAAATATAAGAAATTTTGCTTGGTGAATAGAAAACTTTTTTGCCAGAATTCAGTGTCAAGCGGTGTTGATGTCTATTATTTGATTTTACATTAGACACTTTAAAATGTGAATTTTAAAGTATAAATTTTACTATTTTTATTATTTTAATTTTAAAGTATGAATTTTACTATTTATTATAACAAGTAATAACAGTTTCAATTTTTAATGATTTTTTTTTTTTTATTTGTAATCTTAAACATAATTGTGTTTATTTTTTTTTTAGTTGCCTTTGTCATCACTTGATTATTTTGCTTACTGTTGAAACATGGTTTTAATTTTGTAAATTTAATATGATGTGAAATTTACATTATTATTCATTTGTCAACAGTTAAAGAGAAGCTGGAACTTAATTAAGAAATGCTGGAAATTAACTTTTAGTTAAGGTAAAAATAATTTTGTTTATTGGCAGCATAATAAAACCAGTTACTGTTATTTATTGACTTTTTTACTTTTTCTAACGCGCTGTTTTTAAAACATTTCCTCTCTCTCTCTTAGATAAGACTTAAATAAGAATTAGTATAAAGAGAGAATAGATTAAACTCATGTAATTACTGAGCTCTTGCGTACTTTTTTAATACTGCGATTGATAATTTGCTATTTAAAGATATAATTCTTTAAATTGTCCCTTGGTTGTTATTGGTTATTGTAATAAATAAAATCTTTTTAGTTTCAAGTATTTTCTTTTAGGGATAGTCTATATATTACGTAACGAAAAATTAATCCTGTATAATATAATTTATTCTTTTTAACTTTATTTTAATCTCAATGATTTGTGTTATAAAAATTATTACAAGGATTCCGTTGATACTTTCGTCAATTTAAAGCATGACGAAGTGTTAATATTTTGTGTCAGTAACTAAAAACGTATTGTGTTAAACTTAGGAAGGTCGATGAAAATGGTTCTGCCTTACACTGTTACGGCCTATGCCTTTTGTAAATTACTCAAATAATGTTAAGTAGTAATTGTAAATATTAAGTAGTAGTTAGTAAATTATTTTACCTCCTCATACTTTTTATGTAATTTTTTCAAGCTGAAGGCGATTTTCTAAAAGGGTATTAGTTAAGGTTTTGCAACATTAAATTGTGGAAAACAGACACTATAAATTAATTATGTAACAGACCGACCAAAACCCGTATTACGGGTTGCTTTTTGCTAGTTATTATTAATAGCGCGCATAGTTACGCGTATTGTTTTATAGTAACGGTATGGTTCTGTATCTGTAAAATACACTTTTTAAATAGTTTCTAGACTTTTTTTTACCGCGTGCTTTCTTAAAGATTTCCTTTTAACCTTTCATGGTACAAGTTCAAAATGTTCAAGTTGACATTAATTGATAATGTTTAGTAGCTTAAAATTATAGGTAATCTAAAAGTTTTTTTAAATTTAAAAGTAATTAATTTAATGTAATCTTTTTTAAAATGTAATTTTAAATTTAAAGCTTCGTGTTAAAGATTACTTTAATTCTTAGATTGTGTCTAGCGTTAAAATATATTTATGGGTAGTTTTGTGCTTTCACATAGTTTTGGTTATTGGGTTAAAAGCCATGACAACATTTTGTTATAAATTTATCTTAATTTAATTTTTATTGAAAATTTTGATAGAAATAAAATTTATCTTTAATAGTGTTAATACTTTTGCTCTTTGAAAAAAATATGTTTCTGGCTCTTTAATAAATATAAAATAATTTGTTTTGCATGAATGAATTTTGGTTTATCTGTAATTTATTTAGGTTATTAGAAAATTCATGTTTACAGAGTTGTTATTAATCATAATCGAGTTGTTAAACCAAGGAAATTGTGGAGGTTAATTTATCATATATACTATATATATTATATAATTATATTGGTGGGAGTAAGTTTAAAAACATTTTTAAATTTTTAAAAAGAAATAAAAATACTTTTCAATTTATATCTGTTTTCTTTGAGGTAGAATTAAAGTTTCAGTTTTTTTTTAATTTAAATTTTAAGTTTCAAGTTTTCAAAATCGTAATCTTTTCAAAATGTCTAAGTAGACATTGAGTATTTATAAAATCTTCTTAAAATTTTATAAGTAATTAGTTTACTTTAGTCTTTTTTAAATTGTACTTTTAAATTTAAAGCTTCGTGTTATACATGTGAATTTTGAAAATATAGATCACTATAATTCTTAGATGGTGTCTACCATTAAAAGATATTTATGGGTAGTTTCATGCTTTAAAATGCTTTTAATAATTGGGATAAAAGCCATGACAACATTTTGTTATAAATAAAATTTATCTATAGCATTGTTAATACTTTGGCTCTTTGAAAAAAATTTGTGTTTTTTCTTTTCAAAAAGTTTAATAATTTGCCTTGGACGATTGAATTTTGGTTTAAAATATAATTGTGTTTATATTATATGTTTGTTTTTCTATTTATATCTAATTTATAAAGATTTAATTTTTAGTTAAGATATATATAATTTATTTAATTTAACATTAAGATATAAAATAAAATAACTAATTTATAAAGATTTAGATCAATAGAAAATTTATATTTACAGATTTGTTATTAATCATAATGAAGTTGTTGAACCGAAAATATATATATATATATATATATATATATATATATATATATATATATATATATATATATATATATATATATATATATATATATATATATATATATATATATATATATATATATATATATATATATATAACTATGTATATCCTTGGAGTTGCGGCAGCGTAATAGTGTGTTGGGGGAAAAAAATTTATAAACCTGCGTTAATAACCCGTTTTCTATTGTACATAACGCGTTAATAAGTTTTACTATACGTTTTGTTCAATGTTTTCTCCCAACGCATGCCTTATGACGCTGTCTGCGAAGATATGTTGTTTGTTTCTAAATTTTTTTTCTTTATTAGAATTAGAATAAGTTTTAACTTTTTGTATTAAGTTTTTGCTAATATGGTTGCAGGTTTTTCTTAACTTTTATCAAATAAACCTAAGTAACCTGTATTACTTTTGATGATGGCAAATTAATTTTGTTTTGCATTAGTTTGGATTCTTTATATATTTGTTTTGAGAATTTTTTTTTTTAATTTTTTGAGTTAAATT